TTTTTTTGTTTATGTTGCATTTTGGCAGTAACATAACTAATGTTGCCATAATTAAAAGTGCACTGCCGCTTAGTTGCCCCGGTTGTAGCTGCTGGCGGCAATGTATTTAGTATGTATGCCGAAAAATAAATGTTACTGCATTCGCAAAATTGTTGTCCGCTCTATTTAATTAATTGCTAACAAGTGGCAGAGAATGTGCGTAAGTAAGCAGAAGCGTTGCGGCTGGGTTGCGGCTGCTGCTGTTGAGCGGCCAACGCAACGGTAGTTACATTTATTGCTGTTGTTACAGTTGCTGATGCTCTGCTGTCGTTGTGGTGTTGTCCGACAGACTCATTGACACGTGATAAATGTGATGATAATTCTGTTGCATGTCACTGCATGCTGCTGACAAAACCAATAAAAGTAACTGCAACATAGCAATGGCTCTTACAACTGTTGTTGTTGGCTGTTGCACTTGGTCGTGCGTTTGAGTGCAGCCAGCCAGCCATTCAGTAGAGTTGCACAGACTTCTGAATTCGTGTGAATTTCCGTTTTTATCAATGAGTAATGTCCAATGCTTGGCTATAATCATTAAGCCGTACAAGTTAGTCTGTTGTAAACGGAAAAAGAATCACAACAACATTGCAATCCGTTTACGTCAGATTTTTTGTGTTCCTTGATGCTCGCTGCTGCATACAGCCACACATCAGTTGTGGTAATGATTAAATATTTTAGTCACACACGAACCTGTCGGCTACCATTAGGTCTTCAGAACCTCAGCTCTTCAGTCCTGCCCTTCTGAATCGTTGGGACACCCATAAAATTGTTGATTAATTACTTCGTACCTTTGACAAAGTGTTGACACAATTTCCTTTCAACGAACTCCTAACAGAGAAGAAAATGTGAGTGTCTGTTTTTGTTGGGCGACTGTTTGTAGCACTGGGTGACTGTTTGTGACACGTACCGCACATTCATTTGTTCTTAAGATTTGTTCAGTTCGATTGTGGATAAGTGATAAGAAATGACACTTGTTCTTTGGTAAACCAGTGCATCCTGAGGTTCAACATCAAAATTCGGTAGTGAAAAGGAATATTCGTTATATTGTAGACAAAACTAGTAAATAAAAAATATTCTGCAGTATATCATAAAATCGTTACAAAAATAAGACTTTCGTTTAACCATAAATAGTGATTTTACACAATTGTGATGAAAAATTGTTGAATTTTGTTTAAAGGTGAAGTTGTGATTGATAGGCTTTTTGTACAAGTACAAACTATTTATATTTTTATCATTATTATTTATTGCTTATGTTTCCGACAGGATAGAAATATAAAGGTAACATTTGAAAAGGTAAAAGGTAACAAAAAAAGCCATCACGAAAACATTGCGAATTTCCGTTTTTGGATATCTCCTTTAGTTTTCGAAATATTGATTAAAATTTTGTACAACACTCCTGCAAAATTTTTCCCATATACTAAAAAATTCGACTAAAGAAATTCCTTAATAAACTCAAAAAAAAAAAGGAAACAATAACCACAAATTAGTTCCAAAAAAATCGTGAACTAAATAGTAACATTTTGTGAGACTTTGGAGGAAAATCTATAATCGCATTTTTGAGAAATTTAATTAAACACTTCAACACGATTTCCCAAAAATCGCCGAATGTAATTTATAATGGTCGACGGTATGTATGCTATTCAAAAGTGTAAGCAAATTACAAGCACTAAGTAATAAATTCCTTACAAATATTTAATCTACCCCACACAGTTAAATATGCTGGCAGTTTGCAAATAGGTTTGTAGAAGTTTACTCAATGCACATTTTGGCACAATATTCATACAATTCTCAACATCACAACACTTTGACGGTTTTCGCCGCTCACAAATGGGATAACCCTCTCCAGTGCATGGATAATCGTTCATATGGAGTAAATTGTTAACACTCCAGAGATGTACGCAATGCTCATTATTGCCCGCATTATCCGGTTGTCCACCCGACCTTTTCGTGTAGGTCATGGGGCGTCCATTGCTGAGCGACATAAATTTACCCTCCACTGCCAAATCGCTGCCGCTTGTCCAGAAATACTTGCCCAACTGACCATTTGTAGTTAAATGGAATGCTAAGGCATTCATTTCCGCCTCAGATTCGATTGTAGCTAGATCACTGTCATACGTGCGACAAACATGTGCCGCTTCAAACCAATTCATCTAAAAATATTATTTATACATATTTTTGCACAGTGTAAATAATTTTTTAGTTAGGTATCAATAAATGTTTATGTGTACCTTCATGCCTGTATTTACTAAGTAATACTTGTTGCCAATTTTAGTGAAGGGATAATTATCGCTATTGCATTCTGCAAATTTTACAATAACAAATATATATTTCAAAAAAAATTTCAATAGCTTTATATTGTTAGCTTACACACCATCATTCGATGCGATTAATGAATCAGCAAACACGCTTGTAAAACATAAAAGTACAACAAATTGAGTAATTTCCATTGTGTCGTTGATTATTGGTGTATTTTTTTAATTTCGCTTGAGTGGCAATTAAAGCAGGTTGCGGCCAGTGATCAGTGAGTGGGTGATTAATGAAAACTGAGATGAGATTCGCGATGGTTTGTTTATTTATATATTGCTTAGAGTAAGTACGCTAAGTACACAACCATGCATGCATATGGTTTTATAATTTATATATGTACATATATACATATGCACAATATACATATGTACATTGTACATAGCTTTCCTCTTTTTGACTGATAAGCGTATAATAAGTATTTATTTAAGAGAAAATATATATAGTGATTATCATAACTATATGACACCCACAAATTGACAAGATTTGACTATTGCTTTTATTTTCATTTTTATACTTATTAAAAAGTGCATGCTATAACAAAAACCATACACCAAGTTTCATTAAAATATTAAAAAAAAATTTTAAAAATTTAAAAATAAAAATGTTAAGGTTTTGAAATTGAAGTTTATTATAGTCTAATTTAATGGACTTTAAAACTGCATACCCAACATTTTTCTGAAAATTCTGAATAAAAAGTTTAAAATTTGCATGAAACTTTGTGAACTTTTTTTAATCTTTGTGCAAAGTTTAATGATGAAATATAATAAATAATAATTAAAATTAAACAATAAAAAACTAATCAAATTTGGGTGTATTATAGTTATGATAAGCACTACATAGCAACTGTTCTCAAAGTAGGGTTGTTGTGCCGATCAACAATTTTAAATCAGAACTTTGAGAGAAATACAAAAATCGTTGAGAACTTATTTTAATTTCGTAGGATAATCGAAAGTTTAAGTAAATGAGTCACCACCCTGCTCGGCTGGTATATGTACATACATATCGTTACCTAAACGTGAAAAGGTGCCAAGTCCATTTATTTTTTAATTTTTTAGGAGAGACGAAAAATCGATGTAGTTTCGCATTATCTGTCACTCTGCATCAAAAACTAAATTTTGGAAAAAAGTGGACTTAGCACCTTTTCACCTTTAGGTAGCGATATGTATGTATTATTTCAGAAATACTAATTATTGTATTTCTATAGACCAAAAATATAGGTTTAAAGTAAACCAAATACCAATCAGCGACATATTATAGCTTGGCTTTTTTGAAACAACCACAATATGGTTTGTTTCTTTCTCAGTGTAGAACCAAGACACCATACATGCTTACTTATCGGCATTTGTATGTAAAATCCCAAAGAAATTCCCCGTCTTAGTATTTGATTTTGACTTTTTGCATTTCGCATATCGCCGACGACTTACAATACCTATAGTAAATGTATACACACAGTGCATTCAACCAATAATCGGACAAGTTTGGCTTTCGGAGAATCTATATACGTATTAAAACGTTAGCATACATTTTGTCCGCCTTCATTTGGCGATTGTACCGAACCGATTTCAAAACCAAGAAAACTATTGGAAAGGCATTTTTATGTAGATGAAGAGAATTTTTATGGTTTCAAAATTGGTTTAAAATTACGGCCAAAATCGTCGTCTAAAAATTTCCGTATTGCTGTGTAGTTGTTGTTGCAACCAGTTCAATTTGATGATGAAGAAATAAGTGATAACGATTAAAACAAACAAGTAATTTTTAGCAAAAAAAAAAACCGACTCCAACTCCCATATAAAAAAAAATATATAAATATATCTCATGATTCACTGATCGGATCTCAACCAGATTAGTATGGGACCACCTCTGAGACACTACCTTTCCGATGCAAAAATAATTATCGAAATCGGTTGACGTGGTCCAAAGTTATGCGGTAACATACATAAAAAAAAAAAAATTAAATATTCCGACGAACTGATAACCTCCTCCTTTTTTGGAAGTCGGTTAAAAAGTAAAGGTAAACTTAGAGATGAAGACTAAAGTGAAAACAATGAGAAATACATAAGAATTGGGGTAACGAAAAGGGTAAGAAAATTTATTGAATTTTTTCGTTGGGAATTGAAATAAATTTTGTTATAAAAAATTTAGTAATCGAAAGTTATCAAGTTACCGAAATTTATCGAATCTTCGAAGTTTATAGTTATCGAAAGTTATCGAGTTATCCATGTTTATTGAGTTATGGCAACGTGTAGGTTTATTCAAACTTATCAATATATTTGTCAAAATTTATAGACACACTAAATTTGTTGTGGAAATTGACTAAACAAATTTATGGGATTACCGAAATTTTGAAAGTTGCTGAAATTTATCAAGTTATCGATATTTTTTCCATTAGTCGATAATTATATAGCATCGAGTTCTTGGAACTTATCGAATTATTGATATTTATTGATTTACTGAAATTTCCGGATTAATAGAATCGAAGTTTTCAAAAATAGCAAAATATATGAAGCTATCGAAATTTCAAGGTTATATAAGTTTATCGACTTATCAGTGCTTATCGAATTTTATCGTGTTGCCAGAGTGTAATGAGTTATGGAAATTTGTCTATAGCTTTCGAAAAATATGGATCAATCTAAATTAACCGATCTATATCCAGATATATATATTATTGAGTTATCGAAATTTATCGAGCTATCGTAACGCAAAGTACCCTCAAATCATAGTCCCTTATATATTTTCCGTGGTCGTCATCAAAAACGGGGGTCTCATACGAGGCTTTCTGAACTTTTTCATTGGGCGGGGTATTAACGTGGTGGGACAGAAGATAAACCAAGCGCACGCGAAGATTTACGCCTTCTCACTTTAGCTCGCTCTCAAACGGGTATTTGGTTGGTACCCAGAGGATACGATCCGGGGGTTGTGAGCTTCGATTTGAACCGTAAGCACAAGAATCACTTCTGGCCACTCCCAGGTGAATGTCGGTCAAAAGCTTTCCACTTCTGTGCATGGAAGCATCCTCATATATTCGTCTTAATTCTTATCTTTATCTCGTATTGAAAAGGCAGATCTAGTGAATGTTAGAATGTTGACTGAATTCCTTATCCTATATTCTGAACAAACCATTTTCAGTCTCCTCTTCATACCTATCTATCGATTTTACCTCAAAGCAATATCAACAGCATCAGTGTCATATGTTTCTTCTCTTCGGTGATATTTTATTTGTCTAGTGGCTTCATTTCCAGAACATAGCAATGCGAGTATGAATATGCGCATTGCGATCTCAAACCAGTATTTCAAAATAAAGGAACAAAAATGTTACTTCACTAGATAAACTACCCTTAAAAATATCGTTTTCACGAACCATAATTTTTTTCCATCGAAATGTTCTACGAAATTCCTGTATACAAGTGGCACCCTCTGCTATAGCATGCAGCATCCCTTGCATCTCCATGCTCTGCCAGCATTCATTTAAGAAAAAAAGCCGCTTATTCGATTTCCCATTTACGTTCCACAAACTCACCCTCTTCGATTTGAAGCGGAAAAATAACTATACATCACCAATTGGCATTGGAAATGATTTCGCTTTAGTTTCTTCCAAAGGGTAGTTTTCAAATTAGAAAAGGAAATGACCTGCGCGATCTGCGGTAGATGTCGCTAAGAGGCCAATTGGTGATGCTATTTTGGAAATACTCGTTTGTAAGTGAAAGCAACAGAACTGTAGCATTCTGTAGGCTGTATTTCAGGAGACTTCTATTAGTACTGTTTGAAGCGAACACTCTGTGTCTCATACCTATATAAGAACAAAAAGCAGACGCTGTGTATCTTTCTCAAAATACCAATGGAAGCTTCTTGAACCCTTATAATGAATCGAATATTTTGTTTAGTTTAATTGTCGCCCGAAATCGTTTACTTTTCACTTTTCGCTTATGTGTCTTCCACACGGGCGGATGAAACAAAAAAACGGGCGAGTTTGTTTTCGTGCGAAACCTAGGATAAGCCTGACAAAATTTAAAAAAATGTTAACTAAAATACATTTTTTTCTTTGCTCTCGAAAATTCAATTAAACACGCCGGCTAATAAAAGAAGCAGAAACACACAGACTTTGAGGCACAAGCAAACGCTTGAAACTCGTTTTTTTGCTGCAATTTAAGAATCAATTTGTTGTGGACAACTCCCACTAAATACATATTTACGAGTAAAGAAAAATGTAAAAAAAGGCAAATTGCGCATTTCAAAGGATAATGCAAGATGCGCGCAAGGGTTGATTGCAGGGGCAAGTAGAAAAAGGATTTGAAATGATGAATGAAAATAAAAATAAATGAAAAATGATGCGACAGAAAAAGCGAGAAAACAGTAGTCGGCACTATTCAACGGTAGCAGAGTATGATTTTGATGAAGAATTGTTTTAAAGGTGGGCGTAGCAGTGATGACGCAACCAAATACGATACAAAATTTCTATAAATGGCATCGCGTTTTTTTATATTCGACCGCATACTGTTGAAAATCTATCAAAAATGCATTAAAATTCAATTTGATTGAAATAAGTTTAAAGCAGTAGTTGTGGTAAGTGTTCAAGTTTTGATCGGTTTTACGAGATTTAATAGCAATTTTAAGCGGCAGGTGAAAGGCTTCGATGCTACAAAAAAAATATGTACTATTTCATGGAGTGGCTCTGCAACCGCCTGAGCGATTTCGGCACGCCAGTTGCTTCTCTTCTGTGCCAACTGACGCCAATTGGAAATGCCAAGTGAATCCAAATCTTTCTTCACTTGGTTCTCCATCGCTGTGCGGTCCTCCCTCATCTTCTGCTAAATCCAGCGGGTTCCGGGTTGAATACTTTCAGAGCTGGAGCATCGGAGTCCATTCAAATGACAAGGCCAAGCCAACGGAGCAGCTGCATTTTAATTCACTGTACCACGTCCATGTTGTTGTAAAGCTCCAATAGCTCATACAAATTAAAACAGGCCTTTGTAACAATATGGGGCTTGCTTCGCTGTTCCACAAAGGTAATTTTTGTCAATGCAAATATTGCGTTGAACATGCAATCAATTTTATAAAATTAGCCTTAAGTAATTTTATATAATGTAATACATCATACTCCTACCCTGTCGGAAATACCAACAACGAAAATGAGCAATAGTGAGGCGAATATTACTCTACGGCGCTCAGGTGTGGTAGAGCACAACAGAAAAAGGTACTTATCTCAAGCCAATGGAGGGTGTTCAAGGTATCCCTATATCCAACGTAC